GGAATGTATGTGAATTGTCTTCTTTTCCATCGTTTCGTAAATGATTGTGGCTCAAAATCTGGTACATTTCAGCACCTTGTTTTCTATTAAAATAGAGGGATGCTAATTCACCACCTTTCATTCCCATTAATAGCTACAGAAACAAAACGAAGGACTATAAACATTCATCATCATAAAACTTCGAATTTGAAGATGTTAATTTACAAATATAATTTTGAACCAAAATAACATGAGCTTTTCAAGTTTCTTTTTCCACGCTAATATTTAGTAACTTGTTCAAAGCTTTTTCTGTTTTTGAAAAAGGCTATAGATGAACATGTAATACTAGAGATGATTGATTCGATGCTTTCTTCTTTCTCGTTAAAAGAGCTTCATTTTTTTCCGGTACCATCACCAACCGTTCAGATATTTTCGGCATTCTCACAGAACGATTATTATATATTAGTTAATGATATCACAATTCTGCTTTTCGTTTTCAATAAAACCTTGCATATCGGTTGCATTCCATCTCTCGTCTTATGTAGATTTTGTCATTTACAGAGAAACAGTATGTTTTCAAATATGACATATTCGTTACTTTAGTTTATTCAGAGTTTCACGAAAAACAGTTGTGGTCGTACCAAGGGAAGATCCTCTCTAATTTTTTTCCGCCAAATTTGTAGAAGACAGTTTGAAGTATGGATCCTGCAATTTTTTGGTTCCTTGACTTGTAGTTTTTGGGAAAACGCTCTTGAAATTTAACAAAGAAACTAGAAAGGTATAAAGAAAATCTAAATGAGGACCCCCTTAATCTAGAGAATTTTAGAATGCATTTCTTCTAGTGCTGTGTCATAAAGCAAAAAGACGTTGAATCGATATTGGTAGTGATAAGAAACGCTTCACACAAAATTTTGTGTGTCTAAAATAAACTAGTCTCAACATATTCCTTAAATCATTTTCTTTTATCTTGCAGAGTTCAGTCTTAATTTCTTTTCGAAGGTTTCCATTCAATTCTCATTCTCTACAAAATCATATAAAATCTCTCTTTGTACAATGTAAGTAAAACTGTCCAAAACTTTGATGCAAATCACTTTCAAACGTAAAAATTAGCTTTTAGATTGTACTGACTACTAGACGATGACAGAAAATAAATTAAACGAACATTTTCTTAGTGCATGAAAAGCTCTTATTGCAGGACCATCATTATTACCATGAATGATCAAACTCTATTTCTTTCTTTTTTCATAAGTTTCACAAGATAAACTATTTTGGAGGAAATATTTACCAAAATTTTAATCGATAGTAGTATAAATCGGATTATTGTTTATTTAATCAAAAACGTCAGAAAAATGACAAGTTTATTTAATTGAAATACTTTTAACTTCCTACAGTGATTATGACAATAATTATCGAAAAACGACTTTATACGTCTGGCATCATCACTCATATTATGTCTAACAAACAAGTATTTGATACGATCCAGATGGACATTTATATTCGACGCCAGCGAACGTTGCATATGCTGCGCCATTATGAAATTTACCAGTTAGTTGTAAATTATATCCATGTAATTGTAAATTACATTTTGAAATATAAAGTGTATTTCTTACATTATCTCTTCCTCCAGCAATTGCATTTGATGGTTGGTTATTGTCTTGTCTCCAAACATATGAATTACTACGTGACGGATCTGTAAGTATTTCATACTTATCTGTATAGTGATATTCTACACCATTATATCCAACCCAACATCCATGATTTGGTTTTCCTTTCCCGGGTATAATATCACCATTATGATAAACACGACAAATGTACTGTTGTTCACCCGTATATTCTTTCCCACCTGCAATCATTGTACTCGCATCAACTTTTGCATATGGTTTCCATCTGTATGACAAACATCCACCACACTCATAATATGAATTGAATTTATTTATATCCAAAACACTTAATCCACGGTCTCCACTGCCCCATGTTGTAACACCAGGCAATTTTGCGTTATAACAACCATCGTTATTATAATGTTGAGAACTAACATAATCATAAAATAATTCACGAGTTGTTTCGTGATTATTATCTTTTCCATCGGGGTTACATCCCGGCCTATACGATATATAGTTATCACGATCAAAACGAGTTTGTTCATGTCCAAAACAAAGTGTATGACCAAGCTCATGGACCATTACTGTTGATTTTATGCATCCACCACCAAATTTTGCCCATTGTTCGTTGCCTGTTCGACATATTATGGCTACACCACATGTATTATCATCACGTATAATTCGAACAAATGCTCGTTCATTATTTTGTCTTGGTACAAAACGAATGCACGTTTTAGTCTGGTACTCATTGAGCGGTCATTCATTAAAGAGGAAGAAAATAATCAAACAAAAACTAGACAAAGGATGATCGAGTTAATTCCAATGTAAATATGATAATTTTTAAAAACTATGTTTTTCAATATTTTTCTCCAGGTAACGTTTCAACATAAGTGTATTTTTCAGAACCATAACAAGTTGTACCATATTCAAACAAACAACATTCAAAAATAATCGGCAAAAAAGATATTTTTTCCACTTTTTCGTATGATGATAGTAGTAAAGGATTCATCAAACGTCTACATATTTAGAATAGGATCTATAGGTATGCTACACGTTGACGCTGTAGTAATACAATTGATTCGACATTTTTAGAAGATTTTTTTCGATTTTACCAGAAAACTAAAAGAAATTATCTCATCTTTATCCGAACCAAATGTTTGACTCTAACACTTTACTTTCTAAGTAGTATAGCTATATTTACCAATTGGACAAACGTGAAAAGGAGAGTATGTATTTTTATGTTGTTGTACTTCATGAACGGCAAGAGAAAGCTTTGGCTACTTCAGCTCTCTGAAATTCTGTTAAATGATCATCTAATACGTAATGAACGACTCCATTTGGCCACTTAGTACCATCAAGTGCGCTCCTACTCTATTCAAACAAACAAATAAACATGTTAAAATTATTTATACAGACTAAAACAAGATATTTACATTTGTTGTTGACCTTATTTGATCATCTTTTAAGTAATACTGAGTGATATTTATATTTTCTGTTGTTGTGGGTAAGGAAGCAGCTAGTTTAAAATCATCTTCAGTTAAATATGGCGGAAACTTTGTTTCTAAATTAAGAAAAAGAACACTTCATATCAGGATGTGAGTTTACAACACTTCCCGCAGTATGTTATCTATAACAGAGACATTTTATTCACTATGCACAAGTTGTTGAGCCCCATGGAAAATTCTTATCTTTGAAAAGTTGCAAAAAATAGCAAACTTTTCGATAGTTATCGTAAGAGTAACGAACGAAGTAACGATGAGTAATGAACGTAAGGAATCTATCGTTCATTGCTGTACATTGCTTCTTGTGATGTACTAGAGTTCCTATTCTCATTCGGGATGATATTTTGTAAGAAAGATTGAGAGGATAATGTGCTTCTACCGGAGATCGAACCCATGATCTCCGGATCAGAAGCTCTAGCCACTGAGCTAACTAAATAGCCAGCTTGATCATATTAATCTTCTTTTTTTATTTGATCGATCGATCTACAGCTGAAGCATTTTCTCTAATTTCAGTGGTCAGAGCTTCGGATCTGGATATAGTCCTGGTTCATCAACTCTAGTGCAGTTAAATAAGTTAGTGCTTCAGCGTAGGAATCGACTAACAGAAAAACGAAATAAGCAATAATGTCAGCTGAGGAAGGTGTCAGTTGAGCTAAGATAAAAACAGTGTTTTAATTCCATATAGTGAGGTATTCTAAAAAGATATATGCAGGAAATGACGTTTTTCGGTTCTCAAAATTTTGTTTAAACGATATATATTTTTTCAGTTTGTTTAAAACTAAAACATAACTTGAGTGTATTAGTTGAACTTCAGCCAATTTCTGATGTTCTTTAGAATTAGCAGAACTAAATCTTGCCAACTGAGGCCTCACTTATAAAGCTAAAAAGAACCCAGAAGACTGTTATACGCAATTCAATTCTGAAATATTGCACGTGCGATCAAAGTGTTTAAACTTCTGTCTCCTGAGAAGTGAGTTGTTAAAATAAATATCTGATTAACTAATTGAAATATATCGTAATAACTTCTTTAATTAGAACGACTTGGGCCTTCTGAACGCTCCCGGTTGGACATATCCAGTGAAATCTACTCGAAAACAAACAATCCCGTAACACCATCAGTGTGACTGTAACAACAAAGTTCCTCTGTAACTTTCAGTATTTAACGTAGTGCAATAGAAATTTTTCGATACGCCTTGAAAAACTCTATAATATATGTTAATATGAAGTTTCTTCGAGCCTGGTATGGGTCATTGTGAACTAACTACTAGATTTTTCCATAGGTTCTAGGTATGACACTGCATCTAACTGATCGGATTTCCTTTGAGTCACAGGACTCGTACCTGATGACTTCGAATACCCTTGAAATCGGATGAGACATACTGAATCGACAACGCTGAATCTTTCAGCAATGCCGAAAAGAACCCAAAAGCTTGGTGAAAACCGAGTTTTATGAAAACTAAGGCTTTTTCTAATCTCTCTTTGTTCAAAATTATTTTGTCAAGACAGAGTACTCATAAATAGCATTCGACAGTAGTACTGAACGGATCACAAAAGACTTGAAACTTGTTCTTCATCACTCAAAAACTATCTGGTTAATGCTTGCTTCGTTTAGAAGAACAGAAGCTTTCAAAAAACTTTTGCCTCAAATGTATGCTGCATCTGAATTTTGGTCGAAAAACATACAGCGGAAAACCTTTCAGAGATAGTTCGCTCTGCTTCGTGTTTTTGTTGAGACAAATATCATATTACATCTTGTGACAATAAAATCACTTGAAAACGTTTCTGAAACATACCTTCATTATATTTTGTTCCAGGATCAGCAGTATTCTGATGAATATGGCTACCATAGATCGAAAAAAATTGAAGTAAACATAAAAGTATTAAATGTACATAATAATTCATTGTATTTTGGACGTGTTTTAAAGAAAATGCACTGCACTACTGAATAAACGTTACAAATGTGCGATATGCTTTACAATTTATAGTGAGAACAATGACAGTCTAGGTGAATCGTTGAAATATGAGAATGTTAAAAAGCTTTGACATTTTTGTTTCTCACAAATTAAAAACAGCTTTCTCTGTCCTTAACGTGCACGTTTTTCGTTTTTCAAACTAATCAGTGCAGATTAAAAACAATAAATGGTAGATAATATCGTTTAAATTGCTTTTGTTTATGGATACAAATAGTATTGTTATGCAAATAATTGGCAATTTATAAAAGAACGGGCTCGACAGTACATGATAGGTTTTCTTAAAGCTGTCAAAATTAATTTTCGAAGGCCTCTCAAATTTCAAAAAATGATACATCGAGTTGAACTGCATTATCGTTTACCCTTTGATGAAATTATTTTCGTGATATTAAAAGATACTTTATTTTGTACTATAAACAGACACTTTTCTATTCTTTATTACAATCTGAACAAAACGAAACTGGAAATTAAACAAAAAGGATTGTTCATTTAGTTAGTGTTTCTCGGCCATTTACGTCGCGTCATGCAGTCTTAAATCCATGAGAGTCGCCGGACCTGCGTATATCCGCTAAATGTGCTGTATCAATTCATTGGTACAGACAGTCTATGCATACGTGGGGAGAACATCGGTAATGGAAGTGAGCGAAAAGACAACAATCGCAGTTTTTCAACTAGACTACTCAGATCATCGAAAGTGGAAATTAATTTTCTATTAAATACTCATGTGTAAATAGTTCAATGTTTGTTAAATGGATATTTTTAGATCACTGAGTCGACTTTTTGACCGACGTTTTCTGAGGGCTGTTTCTCTCTGATTGCTAATCTCACAAAAGCAGAACTCAAAATTTTTCAATATTTTGGTTCTTAGAACCATGGTACTATGGGTAGTAGGGATCTCAAAACTAAGGGCTATCTCATACTAATTTTCTTTGCATTACTAGTGAGAGGATGGGTGGCCATTTCTGAATATCAAATCGTAAGGGTGGTGCTTTTTACATTTGTGTCAACGCTTGTTGAGCAAATGTTACTTTATACAGTTTACGTTAAAGGATGAATCATTTCTGACAAGATCGAAAGAAATATTTTGGTGAAGAAAAGCCGAGTATGTGCAGTGACTATCGATGTTGGGCTCCTTTTTCACTGTTTGAAAGAATGATAACGCCTCACACGCTGTAGACTTGTTTTGCTTATTGTAAATTAACTCTTTGTCTTTCTCGATGGAAACCATCTGTTGAGATCCTAGAGAAGGATTGAAGTTGATAGTGGATATCTTCTTTCGATTCGGTCAGAAATAAATTCTGTCTGCGTTAAGGAAACAGTGGTTGTAAAATTTAGAGGGTTATACCTTTTCGAGACAAGTGTCAATGATTGTATAATTGAAGAACAGAAAAAAATACAAGTTTTATCAAAGGATCAGCATAATATTTATATTGGTTACAATAGCAAAACAAAAGGGTGAATATTTCTTAACAACCGGTTAAATACTGACATTTTAGTACCAAACGTCAGATGCTAGCTTTTCCTAATATACTAACTATTTAACAGCGATTTATTAACAAATTGTTAACGACCGACGTGACTTTTACGCAATTAAGCCTCTCTGCAATTAAGGTCTTCGATGTAAAACACAGGATCCTCATCAAATTTTCTCAGAATATAAATCACAGTTTGATTAGATTAGGGTAAATATTAAACCCCGAAAACGCGAGTTTTTCGTCAGTTATCATCATGAATGCTGCTGCCAGGCCTTCAAAGGCCGGTCTTCTAGAAAACCAGTTTTCGAGAAACTCTAAACAACAACCAAAAGCTTTCTTAATGAGGCGTAATTGTAGTCCATAAATTTCTGATTAAAACAAGGCATCTCCCAGCTCTACACGACCTTTCTTTTGAATTTGACCGCAATAATAGAAGATCGCCCGTTAGAATTCAACTTGCCGGACAGAATAGAAGACCAGGTGGTTTGGAGGAGGTATGAAAAGACAGAATAGAATTTTCTTTAACTTTCTTTGTTCTAGAAATATTTAAAAAGCATTCATAACCACTCTGTTTTGAAATGAATAGTAATTGGCATAAGAATGGCTATTGTTG